GAAGCTTGAACCGAAAGGGACCACGAGGCGAAGATTGGAACGTGCTTGGAAAACACCAACGGAGCCAAGTGCTTTTGGGGTGTTGGGAAAGTTTGGGAAAGTTTGGTTCTGGCTCTGTCTTCGTTCAGGAGGTTTGGAAACCTCACTTTGTGTGCGGACGTGGCCGTTTGTTCCCTTCTTTCCCCGGGTTGTAAAGCTTAAGGGAAGATTTTGGGGTTTTTTTTTTCCCCCAATTTTTCCTTCCCTCTGACTGAATGACTCTGTATTTACAGGCTACATCCAGAAGATAAAATCAGGAGAAGAGGATTTTGAATCCCTGGCTTCCCAGTTCAGCGACTGCAGCTCGGCGAAAGCGGGGGGCGATCTGGGAGCGTTCGGAAGAGGTGAGTGGGGCTGCCAGGTGAGCATCCTGGCAGGGGCTGGGGATTAATAACACACCCCACTGCGGAGGGAATGAACTGGAAATGGAATTCCATGCTGGGCAGCCTGCTGGGTGGGAAATGGAGCTTGATGCCTAGGAGTTAAACCAATTAGGAATGCAACCATAATGTTATTCCAGGCAGAACCATAATATTATTCTAGGCAGAGATGTGCAAACACCTGGCATGAAATTGGCTTTTCCCTCTGGAAAAGGATTTTCCAGTTAGGCTGAATGGGAATCCAGTTGCTCAGGGTAATGAGCCGTGAATAAGGATAAGCCTGGCTAACGGCACGCCGGATAAACGATTCGGCGACGAGAAGATTAACAAATTGGGGAAATCAGGACAATTTGCAGCCTGCTGAAATGGTGTTGCTGGTGAGGGGATTTGTTATGGGATTATTGATCCAAAAGCTGGTGGATTCCACCTCGTTAAGGAGATTTGCTGGTGTGGGAGGAAGAATCTTTGGGATGGGAAGGTTTTGCTTTGTCCCACGGATGCTTTTTGCAGTGATTTCCGCCAGGAGGGAAATAAAAAGCGATAACGTCGTGAGTGCAGCTGCAATATCCAAAGAAAAACCCCCAAATCTCTTTACAGCGGGAGCATCCATGAATATTTTATTTGAAGAGGGCCAGGGAATGCTGTCCTTATTGTTATAATCCATACCCCAAAGTCCCAGGGACTTGCAGCGATCCCGAAACGGTGAGCAGCAGCCCAACGTGGTGTTTTCCTGGAAGTGTTTTTCCAAAGCTCATGCTCAGGGGTCGTGGGAAGTGAACTGAAACCTTCGGAAGCCCCTTCCCTGCTCCGACCCTGCCTCGAATCCGTGGCTTCTGGGAACTTTGCACAGCTGCATCGCCGTGCCCGGCTGCTGGCTCGCTCGGGGTTTGAACATTCCAGCAGAAAACAGGAGGGTTTCAATGGAAAACAGGAGGTTTTAAACATTTCAACAGAAAACAGGAGGATTTGGACAGAAAACAGGAGGTTTTAAACAGAAAACACGAGGGTTTGAACAGAAAACATGAGAATTTAAACAGAAAACATGAGGGTTTAAACATTCCAGCAGAAAACAGGAGGGTTTAAACAGAAAACATGAAGGTTTAAACATTTAAGCAGAAAACATGAGGATTTGAACAGAAAACATGAGAATTTAAACAGAAAACATGAGGGTTTAAACATTCCAGCAGAAAACTTGAGGATTTAAAACAGAAAACTTGAGGATTTAAACATTCCAGTGGAAAACATGAGGGTTTGAACAGAAAACATGAAGGTTTAAACATTTGAACAGAAAACATGAAGGTTTAAACATTTAAACAGAAAACTTGAGGGTTTAAACAGAAAACATGAGGATTTAAACAGAAAACATGAGGATTTAAACAGAAATCTTGAGGGTTTAAACAGAAAACTTGAGGGTTTAAACATTCCAGCAGAAAATATGAGGGTTTGAACAGAAAACATGAGGATTTAAACAGAAAACTTGAGGGTTTAAACATTTAAACAGAAAACTTGAGGGTTTAAACAGAAAACATGAGGATTTAAGCAGAAAACATAGGGATTTAAGCAGAAAACATGAGGATTTAAACATTTCAACATGGAACCTGAGGATTTAAGCATTTCCAAGACCGGCGGGCTCGCGTCCCACCCCGCGTGCAGCCCCTGCTGCTGAAGCCCACCCAGCTTTGGGAAGTTCAGCTGCGCTCGGAATGTAGATTTGTTTTTTATTTTTTTCCCCCAAAAATGGTGTTTTTAATCACTCTTCCTTTTTAGGGTGCAGCGTGGCTACAGCTTGGCACCGGTTCCATCCTCCAATAGCTCCTTTCAGGCAGGAATAAACAGGGATAATTTATTGGAATTATAAATTAATAATTTCTTAAAAATTGGCTTTTTATTAACCCTAAGGTGCTGTGTCTGCTGGTTTGGGGTCAGCAGAAACTGAGCTTTTTGGAGATGTATGGAAAGAGATGGTTTTTTAAATTTTTTTTTTTAAATTATTATTTTTTTCTGGCTGCACCAAAAATTACAGGAATGTTGCAAAAGCCAATTTCCACTAGATGGCATTGGAACGGCACGTGGTGGCCAAACCCCTGCGCTGTCCCTCCATCCCCCTCCCTGCCTCTTCTTTTATTTTATTTTATTTTTTTTTTTAACTGGGCTGAAAATGGAATTTGTTAGAACTTGGAGCCCTGGTTACTTCAGAGGTGAAGTTATTAAAACATTTCAATTTGTCTTCCTGAAACCCTTTGAATAAGTCATGTTTCTGCTCACGGAAGACCGCTGCGGTGCAGCAAAGAGGCCGTTACCGCATCCGAAGGAAAGATTTCGGGTCCTAGTGGAAAATAACCGGAAAAAATTCAGGTGGTGAGGCTGGTCTGGCTGCCAGTGGCTTTGTCACTGGAAACTGGGAGCTGGGGGAGCTGCTCACCTCTCCCAGCAATGAATCCAAACGCTGAAACGAGGAATGAAACTCTGCAAAGCCGCGTGCTGCGGTAATAAAACACCTTTTTTTTGTTGTTTTGAAGGAGAAAATACGGAGCTGGAGCCGTTGCTAAGCCTGAAAGGGAGGAATTGAGCATCTTTTGTGGCATCTCTGCCTGGTTAGAGAAAGGGGGATGGATGGATGGTTGGATGGATGAATGGATGGGTGGATGGATGAATGGATGGTTGGATGGATGGTTGGATGGATGGTTGGATGGATGAATGGATGGTTGGATGGATGGATGGATGGTTGGATGGATGAATGGATGGGTGGATGGATGGATGGATGGATGGATGGATGGATGGATGGATGGATGGATGGATGGATGGAGTCCTGCAGTAAAACATAAATTCCGGAGGTGCTGCTGGGTTGGACATGATGCAGCTGGGATGGGCAGTCTCTGACGGGGCCAGGAAGGTCTGGTTTGCAGAGAGAGCAGTAAATCCCGTGGCATCTGCTGCCCATCCA